CCCCCTCCCATGGCCTGTGTTTTGTTTTGCTCATCTCTCCTGTGGCTCATCTTCGTGTTGGGTGTTGCTCTGAGAGGTGTTGGACTTGATGTCTTTGTAGAAGTCATCTCCTGGGAGAGCTCCATGACATCACCAGAGGGCATCAGACAACAGAGCATGGTAGCTTTGGGATTGCTCCACGCTTTCCAAGTAAATTCCTCTTCTATTCAGCAGCACTCACCATGTATGCCTTCACCCCTCTTGCTCTGTTCTCCAGTAGGTCTTGTGTCCCCTCCTCCCTCCTGAGACCCACTGTTTTTTGATGTGCTGCAGGTGATCCATGTCACTTTGGGGATGCAGGGCCAGTAGGGTGGGTCCTGCCACCTGCAGTCACAGGGCAAAGACACCTGTATCTCTGGAGAGATCCAGTGTGCCACGTAGTTGTAGCAGAGCACAGAGGATAGTCAGCAAGGTGGTGGGATATGACGGTCAATCAGGAGCTTAATTACAGGTGCACAGGAGGAAATTGCCCAGAGAGGTTGCAGATGCTCCACATTCAAAGCCAGGATGGGTGGGGCCCTGAGCAACTTGATCTAGTGAGTGGCATCCCTGCCCATAGTAGGGTTTTAGAACGAGTTGATCTTTAAGGTCCCTTCCAACCCAAAGCATTCTATGATTCTGTGAAGGACATTGCTCTTCCACTGCTTTCTTTCCATGGAGTAAGTGCTGGAAAGCTGGGTGTAGCTCTTGTTCAGTGTGATGCAAAGGCAGGGGAGGTGTAAGTGTAAGATATTGCCATACAGCAGTGCTTTGCGTGGCACTGCACATGTTAATTGGGTACAGAGCTGCTGTTAGCACTGGGACAGCACCTGGGGATAGGTTTATCATCTTGGGTGTGAATCCAGACTTAGGGTGCTTGTAACATAAAATTGTTCTCCAGTTGTTTGGGATCCCTGTTCAGGCACAGCAGTCATGATCTAAATTGTGGGTGGTTTGAGTGTGCCTTGCCTAGAATCTCAGAAAAGTTGAATGTGTGTGTGCTTCTCTGTTTAAGACCAGGATTAATATGGTGCATGCTCTAATTTAGATTCCAGGAACGAAGTTCAAGAATCTATGCTTGCACAGCCAGGAGGGCTATTTGAGGCAAAAGTGAAATTGATTTTGGTTTAAAAGGGCTGTAAAAGAAGATAGGAGTAAATATGGAGAAAAATAATCTAAAATTGATTAGAAAGGACCTATTACCCAGCAGGCAGTAAACCACTGAAGATAGGCCATTGAATAACCATGAAAAGAAAATGAGAATGCTCTGGTATATACAAATAAGAATCGAACACTGCACTTCTGCAGTGATATTTTTTTTGCTTCAGTCAGTGTGTCACTCTGACTGGAGAGTGTTTTAAGATTAGAAACTGCTGTGAAAGACTAGAGGATGTGTGCCCTAGACCTTGGAAAAAACTTTGGATCAGGATTGGTAACTATCAGGGTGATTTATACCAAAGTTCACCCTAGAAACTCAGCACTAGGGACATACTCTGGGAGTGGAGTGTAAGCAGAACTTGTGGATCAAATTAAGCCACAGATACCAAACTGAAGGAAAAAAAGATGGATTTCCTACCTGATGCTGGCATGGAAAAGGACAATCTGGCTGCACACTGCAATATCTGGAACGTGAAACCGCGGCAGTGGTTTTAATTACATAGGTGGGACTTACTGAATACACTGGTTTGGGAACTGTAGAGAGATTCCCAATGAATGGCTGTATCACAGACATCGAGTTACTGTACAAATTTCAACCACATTTTTACAACCATACAGTGAACTTTGCACACTTAGTGATGTGCTCAGGGCATTTCTACTTCTAGTTCTCTCTTCAGCCCAGATTTGATGCTGTATGTAAGGCATATCTTACATGTTAATGAGAAAATAAAATTATACATTCCACTTTGTACTTGGGAATTTACAGAGGTTCTATTACCCAATATACCTATGAAATCCTTAGACTTATGGATTAGTTCCGAGTGAGTGAAATAATTAATGTCTCACTAAGCTATATATGGCACAATTAAATATTTTAAGAGTAAGAGCCTAAGTGTTAGTTCAACCATTCAAGTTGGTACGAGTTCAGATTTAGAATATCATGTGCAGTCTTCAATATCATTCACAGAATTCTTGATGTGAAGTGCTTTTAGGATAGTCCTTGTAACAGCTAGGACAATAAGTTTAATCTTGCACCCAGCTGTAATAATATCTATGTTTCAAATAATTATATTAATGTCAACTATTGCATAGATAAATGAGAATTACTGTTTCTTTGAGGTAAAGGTTTATGCAAACCAGTGCTTGAGATACTGCCTCCCTACCCAAGGAGTGACTGTGGCTCAGTGTTAGCTTGGACTCTGTCTGGTTAGACTGTCACCTAAGGGGCAGGAACCAGAAATGGTCCAAAAGTCAAGGTTTTTTACCTGTCTCTTCAACAGACCTTCCTATAACACTGCACTGTAGTGCCTCAGATGTTGTAAGTGGTCCACAGGAGCGTCTGTGACTTCTGTCTTCAGGAAAGTGCATTCTCCATCAGCACAAGCCAAGGACTGAACCTCTCTCAGACACTGGTGACCTCCATGGCATTCCTGATGCTGTTTTATAGAAATGAGCCACAGGCACCTGCCACGTGGTGGCATTTCTGCATGGCAATTCCTGCATTGGAATAATTAGAGCATGAGTGTTACAACCTTAATGTGGGATTATAAACCTATATTCATGACTGCTGTTTGTGTCCAAAATCAGCAATCTGGCTTGTGTCTGGATCCAGCCCCTGCCCCTCCCCTGCCCTGCGTGTTCCCATATTGGTCTTCCGTACATGGAGTGATGGTAAGTCTCTGAGGGGACCAGCATTCCCTATATAAAGTAACCCGCTGCAGGGGGATCAGACTGAAGGAAATGATGGCACTACAAGCAGCTGGTGGAGTGGGATGGAGAAGCAGTGCTTCTGTCTTTTGGGATTCCTTTTTTCTTGTGAGACCTTAGGTTTCCCTTCAGTCCTCTGTGTCTAAAAGCCCGTGATTTTACAAAAGAATCCCAACCTTCAGAAAAGGGAGAATTATGTTTTTACCAAACATATCTGCATCTAGAGGGGCAGAGGAGGGAGTTTTGAAGGGCCTTCATTTCCTGCCAGTGTTGGGGTCGGAGAGTGAAAAGGCTGTAAAGAGGAAGACACTGCATCTTTCAGAGGAGCAATGAGAGCAGGTCTAAGCAAGTCAGGCACAGATATATACTTGCTCTGGTTTTACACTCTCTGTTGTATATTTAGTTTATTACAGCTGCTGGAAACAAAGAGCCAATATTAGGTTTGAAAACATGACTTATATAAGATAAAGGAACCCAGAAATACAATGCACATAAATATGAGAAGAGGGAATAGGTTGCTCTCAGAAATGTGGAATAAATTTGCAGAGGCACAGTAAAAGATGAGAGATTATAAAAAGGCATTAGGGCTGACACTGTAAAGGAGTCAGGGAATTACACAGCAAGCTCACATTACCAATTCAGACTGGAGGTTGCTTTAAAGAATGGCCTGGTCGTTAGAGGTAACAGAAGAGCAGTGCAAAGTGCATTGAAATCTGATATTCTTTGGAGAATTCAGCAGGCTCATATGGGTATAGAAAAATGTAAATGGTAAGCATAAGCTATGTACATGTAGCAGCCTCATAAAAACGGAGAGATAAAGAAAATTGTTGAAACCGAGCTATTGCTTCAAAATACCAACTAAAAAAACAATACAACTCATGCTGATAGATCAGGAGACGCTACAGCCATGGTTTGAAGCGTAGATATATTTATACTTTGCTTTTCTGCCAGAGACTACATGGCAGTGTTGGCTCATTGTTTGCATTTCCCTCTGGTTGTGCTATAGGGAATCCAGCATTAGAGCATCTCGTAACGCCCTTCATATCTGCATTTGCCAGGCACAGAACCACAGAAGGGGGCTGAGTAATGAGCTGTGCTTCAAAGAACAGAATTTTCAGCCATTTTCAAGGGCTGCCGGAGAAATTCCACAGTGTAACATCCGCTCCTAGATATCCTGTATTGAAAGGTCTACTGAAAAATGGAATTAGGATTACTTGGATTTTTTTTTTTTTTTTAAGCTACCAGATCTGAAAGAGATTCTTCTGCTGAGCTTGAGAGACTGCCTTTAAAACACAGTCAGTCTCCCTTTATTTTAAGAGGTGATTGAGAACCAGACTTACTAGTACAGAACTAATCTGAGCGCTTATAAATACACTGAAAATATGCAAGAGTCATACTATTTCATGGGGAATAAGGATACTAAAGTGCAAGGAAGATGCAGCCTGCATACACCAGCAAGACTTCGTCTCTGTGTGACAGGGAGATTGCTTCTTTCTCCTTCAGAATACAAACGCCTGAAGGACAGGCTTTGGGAAGACAAGAGGAATATGGAGATGAAGCCTGGGGAAGCAGCATTTGAAAAGATTTTACTGAAGTCAGGCAGAGATCAGTAAGAGCTCCTGAAAGACATTTTGCATGCTTTTAGAGCATCTAGTGCTATTTTTTGTATAAGAGCCATAGGAGGGGAAAAAGAGAAAGATTTGTAAAATATGCTATTATCAAGATGATCAGTGAGAACTGGTCTGAGAGGATCAGACTGGAGACAAACTGGAGCAGAGAGACCCACTTTTGTACCTATACCTGCCTACTGTATTATACAAATTATTAACTTTCCCTACCATATACCCTAATTAAGGTTTGCCTGCCAAGGTGCAAAGACTACTGAAATGACATTTTGAACTCTTTTATGGTTAGATACTTTTAGTCTGGGTGGGTTTGCTATTTTTATTTGATGAGTTTGCAGTTTTTTTGGAGGGAGGTGGGGGCTTAAGCTGCGGTTCAAAGGTTTAAAGGGCAGATGAAAGTAACTTTGCGAGTGTTTGCAACCTGTAATTTTCCATTTGTGTTACAGTCACAGATGCATCTAATGTGCATCTGATGCCTAATGTGTTCTGCAGCTGGCACAAGCACTGTCTCACCGGAGCTCCTGCCCTACCAGGTGGAGGACAACAGCTCCCAGGTGTCTGTCCCAGCGGAAGTGTGACTGACTATAAACCTCATACCTTCAGCTGGAGTTTCACCACTCTTGTGAGCTCACATGGAGTCACAAGCAAATGCTCCAGACCTTTGAGAGTCTCTGGTTTAGGATCACTGGGTACCCTCTGGTGCTCCCACTGCCTGTTGTAGGGAAAGCCACATTGATCTCTCCTGCCCAGAAGAGGGGGGTGGTTGTCTTGCAAATCCTTCAGTCACCCCCAACCTCACCCCACTGCCATCACCTGTTTCACCACCTCGGGCTCCTCTTTTCTTCCCTGGCTGTTCCCACTTCCAGGGTTCCCACCCCTCTGCCTCTGAAGCTCAAGGAGTGATGCAGCTCTCCCACAAGGACAAGTCACTGCTGGGGAAGTGCTGAAACAATCAAGCATGGTGAGCAGGAAAGTTCTGAAAGGAGCAGGTAGGAATTTGGTTGGGTTGTGTGCAGCACAGTATGTCATGTTGGTAAAACAAAAGGACCAATATTTTGGATTCTGTGGCAAAGTGTCAGTGTACAAAAGCCTTAGTAAACAGTCTGCTCACTGCAATACATGGAATACATTTAAATTTAGCCTGATTTTGTTTTTTTCATCTTTGGCTGTGACTCAATGGTGGCTTTGTTTATAGCAACTGTTTTTGTGTTCCAGTGAATCACCTCATGCAGAGCTGGTGTTCAAGAAAGAAAGGATGAGTCTTTCTGGACCGGGGAGGGGCAGCAGGAATTTGATGCGTATTCTCATTGTCACAAAACTTAAAACTGAGTGTGTATTGAACCTGCTGAGAATTCAGCATCTTACTTCACTTTGGAGAACCTCTACAAAGAAAAGAAACTATGTCTACTCATACCAGACTGTACTTCAGGGAAATACACTCAAAGGGTGCCTTTGTTTGAGAGTGCTGAGACGAACTCTGTGGCCACTGTGTTGTACTGGAACAATATGGGGATAAATTTTCTCCCACCTCCCTCCATGATTTCAGAGCCATGCATGTAGGTACTGCATCCAGGAGGAACTGGCTGCAGATACCTCTGTAATCAGGGTCCATGGTCACTGAGCAGCAGAATATGAATGTTGCACAGAGAAATCAGAGATTTACTTTTCTATTACTTGGGAACATAATAAGACTCCTCAGGACCACAAATGGAAGTTAAGAAAACAAGCTTGATTATTTTAAGATTATGGTGAAATAACCCAAACTTTCTCCCGGTTCTCAAAAGCATTGCTCTGGGAACAGAGTAAGGTACTTTGGAGACTTTTCACTCAGTATTTCAGAATGTTTTGATGCTTTGTTGTCTTTGAAAGTTACCTGAAAATAAACCAATTTCTTATTGCTTCTTCCACGTATCTCTCGGTTTTCTGAAAACCCCTCAAGTAACATTCCTGTAATTACAAACTCAGCTCTTGTTTGTTTTGAAAGGCTTTGCCTAATGGGAAAACAAGTAATTAAGAACTCCAGCCAGCTGTAGCCAACTTTAGCCACAAAACTGATCATTTCAGAGGGAGCTGGAATAACTGACTCAATAGTCAGCTTGTGAAAACTTAAATAGTTGTTTCAGAATACTGACCAAAAAAAAAAAAAATTAAATTGGACTCACTGAATTGGGAATTGTTGATTCTGAGTTCATATTTGAGTTTTCAGAGTTATTTAAGGTATTTTTTTTTAATACATAGCAGGCTGTGCCTTTTCACCTCAAATTAACAAATCAGATTTTTTTTAAGGTCTGAGTCCTTAACTGAAGGAATATGCTCTTGAGATGTATGATACTGCCAAAGATCACAACCACCACTGAAAATAGAAAATAGTGACCCTATTAACACTGAGATTAAAAAGGAAATGAGGGTGAGGACTTGTACTGCGAGACTGTGAAATGCAGTCTGATGAGACTGAGCCGGACATTTTTGTACAGTCACGAAGCAGCAAAGCAAAGCTTGTTAACCTTTTTCATCGATTCCAGTTTCCTTTTTGTTTAAATTGAAATGTCCAATGTTTCCTACTTTTTTTCATTACTACACAGTGTAATACAGTTGCTGCTGCTATTAACCTTCAGGCAGACAGAAAATCAGTGAAGGTTGATGTGTGATACACTTTTATCTGGAACTAATAGCCCTTGCCCTCAGTTACAGGGAAAATATTGTAAGACTTGATTTGTGATAAAGATAGTGGAAATAAGAGGTAGGGCAGCTCAGAAAAGGCATTTCTTGTTGTCTGATGGTGAACTCTGCTTCTTTTGGCCACAGGTGTCTCACAGTGCAGAGGAAGGAGTTACAGAGATAATTAACCCTCTACAAAAGCTCAGTGTTCCATGAGTGGCACGTGGAGAAAGTGCAATGGTAGTAGCTGCTCTTGAATCCCCAGTGAAGAAAATCTCTGCCTGGTGCAACAAGCTGCTACCTGTGCAGGGGATGGAGTAGCAGAAAATTCCTAAAAATATCATGAAACATGCTTTGTTGGGCTGCACTCTGGTGGGAGCTGCAGTTGTGTGACTGCACTGGGACTACTGCTGGAAATTGTGTTGAAAAGGCGCGGAAGCATCCTCTGCTCAAACAGGTGATGAAATTTCTTTATTGTGGCATGAGTTCCGTGGGTCTTAACATTTGTTTGTAGATAGTAGCATCTGTGGGGAAAGAGATGATGTTTCACGGGGGGGAGTGAGTGGGATAACTTGGATTTTCAAAATTTCTGCTTTCATGTATGCCTGCAGTGTTGTTCATGTCATATGGATAGCTTCTGTGGAAGTGACACAATATGCTGGGCTGCTGAAGATACAGCTGCCAAAAAAAAGGTGCAACTGATTTACTATGAAACTTGGTTTAGATGTGTACTTGGGCAACAGGTGAACAGTAAGAAACAGGACCATCAGGTCTTTACTTTGTTTAAAAATGGAGGTTTTCTGACTGGTGATTAAACTAGTCAAGGACATTCAGCTAATATCCCAGTAGTACTTTGAAAAAGTCAGCTGACAGTTCTACTTCAGAAGCAAGGCAGTCAGGTACAGGATACTCACTGAGGTGTGCTCTCAGGAGGTAGAAAACAACATGCAGACAGGGTGCAAGATTGCAGTAGAGGCCATAGGTGATAACTGGGCTTGGGCTTATAAATCACATGGCAGACTGTGGTAACACCGATGCTTTTACTGTGGATTACTGCTTAGGGCCAAGTAATAAGTGACAATTTGGCTCTTTCATAATTTGCTTTTGAAACAAGGTGTTGTTGAAACAGATTTTTCCCATGTCCCTTCAAGTTTGTTGTCAGAGCTGTGCTGCACTGGGGCTTTTGCAGCAATGTCTACAATAAAAGGCAGGGAAGATTTCACTCTGCTTGCCTGTAAGAAATTACTTGACTTTCTTTCCCTCTTCCACCTCTTGCTGTTTGGACCCATCCTCTGATAATGGGATTTTTGCACAAGTGGTTTGTTTTTTGCTACCAGTGATATTAATCTTACTTGCCTGTCCTACAAGGGAGAGCATCTTGGAGGAGGGAGATGGGGCAGTGCTCATGAGAAAGAACGTGCAAAGTCCTCCCCTCTGAAAAAGGAAGGCTGCAAAGTCTAGATTGCAGTCTAATTCCTTTGGAATCAGCAATCGCTCAGTCCAGACTCTCTCTGCCTCTGGAAATGTTACTATCCAAAAGTAGGAAGGGAAGATAGTTGGGTTCTTACTAATGTGAAGACAAGAATCCTACTTGGTGTTGCTGAGGGCAGTTAGAAATAAGGAAATGGCCCAGTATTTACCAAGTTCCTGAATATTAATGTTAATTTTCTTGAAATCACCTAAGGGGCGTGTCATTGTCCTTCTTGGCTGGTGTGATTAGTGCTTTTCTATCTCCCAAGATTAGAGACTTATGCAGGAGTGGATGAACTGTGAAGTCAGTTGCTCCCTGAAAAATGATAACATTTTTCCTCAGTTGCACGCGTGGAGGGCTTGGTGAACAACACTTTCCCAACATTCTTCTCAAAAGCCCAGCAAAAGTATTTCAGTCATTGACAGAAATTGACTGCCACACACTTCAGCCCCTTAGTTACTGCTGTACCTCCATCAAAGGTAACAGCCATTCCTGCATTCCCCTGGCGAAAAATTAACTGTCTGAATGTCTGTGCTCCAGCAGCACTTGCAGGCTGTACTGCAATGGGTTAAGTTTTGCCTGTGGTGGATGGATGGATCCTTTCCTGTGGCATAAGTTGTACATGTGTATGTCCTGGGATATATTAAGCTGTATCTGCAGAGCAGAAGCTGTGGTGGTGACCAGTCTCAGAAAACTTTGAGGAACCATAGTGGAGGGAAGTGGAGTAAGTGTTCCCGGGCAAGAAAACACCATCCTGTCACACAAAGAAAGCAGCTCTAGGCTCCAGCAGTGGTGCTTCCCTACTCGCTGGGGCCTGCAGGCTCGGTAGAACACAGCCAGCGCTGGGAATCAAGAGCAAGGAGCACTGGAAACCCAGGCTGCGTGGCTCCTTGAGAACTATGTCTGGTTGTTGACTACGGTGCGTCTGGGCAGGAACGAGCTGCGATCGGGGCTCCTCTCGCACGGGAGCCAGCGATGCTCCCGCCTCTGGAGAGCCGCGGTACTCACTACGATGCAAACCTGTGCCCAGTCGCCTCCTTCCCAGCACCGCCGAGCAGGGTGGGCGGCAGTGACCCCGCCGAGCCCCGCAGCCCCCGGGGGGCGGGTCTCCGCTCCCCCTGCGCCCAGCGGGCACCTCCCTCCGGGCGCGGCCCCGGAGCCTTGGACGCGCTCCCCATCGCCCTGCGCTCACAGGGGTCAAACACCACCGAACCAGCTCCCCCATCGCCCGGCGCTCACAAGGGTTAACACCACCGAGCCAGCTCCCCATCGCCCGGCGCTCACAGGGGTCAAACACCACCGAGCCAGCTCCCCATCGCCCGGCGCTCACAAGGGTCAAACACCACCGAGCCAGCTCCCCATCGCCCGGCGCTCACAAGGGTTAACACCACCGAGCCAGCTCCCCCTCGCCCGGCGCTCACAAGGGTTAACACCACCGAGCGAGCTCCCCATCGCCCGGCGCTCACAAGGGTTAAACACCACCGAGCCAGCGGAGCCCAGCGCGCCGCCCCTCGCCCGCCGGGCCCGCAGCGCCGCCGCCCGACCCCGCCTGCCCCGGCCCCGCCGCCGCCGCCGCGCTCATGGCCCCGGCCCCGGTAAGTCCGCGGGTAATTCCACAACAAAAGCGGGGCGGCGCCGAGCGAGGGAGCCCCGCGAAGTGAGGGGCTGGGGAGCGCCGGGGCAGTGTCGAGGCGCTGCGGGAGAGCTGCGGGGTCCGGCCCGGGCGGGGGCGGTGCGGGCGCTGAGGGCTCTGCCCGGCCCGCAGCCCCCGCTGCCCGCTCCGCCCCGGCCGTGGGTGGGTGGCCGCACCGGGCCGTGGCTTCGCGGAGGGCCCGGCCGGAGCCATCCGAGTGGGAAATCTGTAGCGATCGGCTCGCGGTTGCCAAATCTGACGCCCCCAGCCGGGACCCGAGGGCGGTGATGGCAAGCAAGGATGCTGCCAGAAGTGCCCCCGCTACTGGGGCTGGAGGAGATGTCATTGCCCAGGCAGCTGGCGGGGACACAAGCCCTGGTACCTCAGGCAGGGATCCGGCAGCTTTGGCTACTTTCTAGGGAGAAGAGAATGAGCTGGTGTGCCAGGGTGATGCCAGGGCAGTGTGTGCTCTGTTAGGGATCCCTCCAGGTAAGGACTGTGAGCTGAGTAGTCCTTTGTGAAAGGAAGCCAGCAGTCTTGTTCCAGGGCTTGCATATTTCCCGTGTGTGACCTGCCTTGGGAAAGATTACATTTATGAGAACAAATGGAGAACCTGTGATTTTGAGATCTTCTTTCTAAGGAACTTCCTTCAATGGATAGAGAGCCTGTATTTTACTCAGCTGTGTTTGTGACACTTAGGCAGTATAAAGAAAACCAACATCCCTGACCCTCTCCACAGGGATGCTGCTTGGTGTGGTGCATCCTCGAGGAGAAATGCCTTTGGTCCCCTTCTCCTCATAGCCCTCGGTGGAACAGATTACAAGAAGGTCTGCAGAAGGAAGGGGTTTCTCACTTCAGTGGTGGTCTCTTGAAAGCCAGAACCACTGAAGCTTATACTGAGTTTGAGGTAGCTCCAAACTCATTCTGAGTGGACATTCAGAGCAGCAGAGCTGGTTCCTGGAGATTTTCCACTCCGCTTTTGGCAGGAAGTGATAGCCCCAAATGCCTTGACACAGTTTTACTTACAGGTATGTTCAGTGTTTAGAAAAGGAACAGCACTTCAGCCAAAGTCCCCATAAATCAGACTAATTTTCTGAGACAAAGGGAGGCTCTTAATATGAACATTTATCCTGTGTGTTTCATAGCATCATTTTGGAAGTAGATGTCAACCATGTGCAAGCCCCAATCCTTGCAGGATAAGGCCTTCCTGCATTTGGAGAGCACGCCCTGTGTATCTGTATGTGTACATTCACATGCATACTTCCAAAGAAGATCCTGCTCTTAATGCTTTTGAGCAGAAGCACTACATTTAATGACAACATTCTCCTGTGACATTCCTTGAGTGACACAACGAGCATCATCACAATAGTGAGCAAACAGTTTTTGCAGGACAGAACAGTATCTTTTCAGTACATTCCCTTCCAAGAGGATACCATCTTTTTCTTTGAATCCTGAGCAACAGCATTTCATGCGACTCTGTTTCCCCATGCACTTGGAAGAGGTGGCTTTTCCCCTGTAATTTCCCACTCTGTTGACCCGTCTCAGTTGTTTGGCTACTGTGCCACATTTGCATTGTTCAGGGCCTCCAGCAGCCTCGTGGCAGCCTCCTGCAACTCTTCTTCCTTCACTGCCTTCCCAACAGACAACAGCAGCTTCAGTGTCTGCAGCGAGCTCTGCACCTGGCTGTCTAGCAGCCTGAGGAGGAGATCCTCGATGTCACTGTTGGGCAGCTGCTGGCCACTGGCTGTCGCCTCTGTGGCTTCTGGGCCAGCAGGTAAGACAGTGGAGGTCACAGGTACTTCCGTGTCAGGGCTGGAGCCAGCTGGATGGGTACTTGTGGGAGATGTGGGGTAAGGTGGCTGCGGGTTGACGTTTCTGGATGACGCGGCATCAGTGCTCGTGGTAATGTCGTTGGTGCCGGGTGCAGGGTGCAGCTTGGCGCTGCTGTCTCCTGGGCATGCAATCCTCTGTGGAGGAGAAAGCATACCTCTGTAGAGGCTTCAGGAGCAGGCACCTAGGCACTCCCCTGTTCTGTCAGTTTAGCTCTCACTGCACAATCCCATCTTTCCCACTCCCTACAAAGATGAGCCCAAGAAGGCAAAGAAACCTTCATATCCTTTCTTTGTCAAGTCTCCCTGTAAGACTAGCATGGGACTCACAGCTGTCTTTACTTTCCTTCTCTTCTAGCCAGCATGAATCCCCCTCTCTTCTGGAGAAACCTAGATTGTCTCAACTTGATTGGGAGTGAGAGCTGGAGAGGAGGGCTGAGGTGGTCCTCAAAGGATCATTTTCTTGAAGATAAGTCCTGCAAAGTCTCCTTTTTGGCAAGTGGCTTCAGGTGCCATCTGAAGCTAATCAGCTTGGTGTGAGTGGCCCCTGGAAGGTGGGCTGGCCCTGGCTCTCTCCTCTCTTCCCTGCCTTTTAGCCTCGTTTCCCATTTCCTCATTTTCAGGGCTCTCCCTTTTACCTGTTACTTGCCCAGGGCACACCTAATCTCCAGGAAATAGCTAAATAACTCACCTTAAGAAAATACTTTTTCTTAATACAGCGGTAAAAAGAAAAGGTGCAGAAGTTGGGGAAGAAAGGATGTCCTGGCATTTCGGAACATACGGGTCCTAGAAAGAGACAAATAAAGAGACAAATCTAGTGATAAACTTCAGTGCTGGCATCTTGCCAGCCCTTAGCAATGGCCTCGCTGTCGAGTGACATCCCTGCATGAAAACCCCTGTGTCATTTGGGCATCCTCTGAACCTTGTGAGAAATTCAGTGGTTTCTTGGTCATCTCCATGACCCAGGGTGTGAGAGGAGGCTGGTCCTAGGGTCATGTGTGGATGCAATCAGGTGTGAGAGAGGATGTGCATGAGCACATGCCTTGTCTTCTCTGCAGGATTGCTTCCCACCTCTCTCCCTCACCACCTCCTGAGTCTATTCTCTCCCAGTGATCAGGTCCCATGCCGGCCAGGTGGGACCCCCATCCAGCCACCCTGCTATTGGGAATCGCAGTTGGCTTTACCTTGAGGGATGACTCCATGGTTTTCATACTTGTCCAGTGTCTGGACCAGTGAGTTCTGGCAGCCGTACAGCTCACGGAGATGGCAGGCAGTGCTGGCTTGGAGGGTGATCCGGAGGAACTTGAAGAACTGGCGGTACTCCTGGTTGGAGAGTGGCGTTCCTGCCTGCTGTGCCTTCGTCCCCTGAGGACCAACTATGCAGACCCAACCCAAGAGCACTGGTGAAAAATAAAGTGCAGGGAGTCACAGGGAGAAGGAAGCGCTAATCACGCCACATTCAGAAGAGCTGGAGGGCTGAATCCAGATCTCTGTTGCCTTTTCTGGGTGCAGGATCCAGCATGTGGGAAATGCAGTAACAGACTACAGATGGTGGGTCCAGACCTGGGGAAAACCTGCTCCATCCATGTTGAAAGGGGTGTGGTATTTTGGGGACAGTACTTGGCTGAGGGGCCTTCACCATAGCTCTGGAGATTCAAATCTTGAACTGGGAGAAATCTCTTGGAAGTCATGGCTTAAACTGGGAATATTGCTATGCTGTCGGGGCTGGAGCAAGGAGACTGTTCTATTTCAAGATTTTTAGCCTCTGCAAATGTTCTTCCTCTGGCTAAGTAGGTCTTTAACCAAAATCCTCTCTCAGACCTCTTTCTCCTGCCTCCTCTGTTGCTTCACTGGGCCAGCTCTTTCCTCCTGGCCAAGTCTAGATCTCTGTGCTTCTGTCTCCTTTAATGCACCCAAGTGTCCCTGTCTCCAGTCTCCACCTCTGCTCCAGCCTGTGCCTACCCATCCAGCTCTGACTGCTCCCCAGCTCCTAGGTCACTACCAGTACCAGTGGATGAAAACTGGCAAAACTGTAAGCCTTGGGATCTTTGCACCAGAGGTGTTGGAGGGTGTTCCCCTCCCTTCCTTTTGCCTCCAAAGTGCCCAAGCTGAGGAGCGATGGGGAGGGGTGCAGAGCAGCCACTTCAGCTGCCCTTCCTCACAGCAGGGCTTGGAGGAGAGATGTTTCCTACTCACCAGACAAAACCAGGTAAGCCCTCATAGCCGACATCGAGCTGTGAGCAGGGCCTGCGACAGGCAGGGCCGACAGTCGGGGCCCAGTGTGCTGTCAGAGGTGTCACCTCCACTTCTTCACTGGTGATGTCATAGCCAGCTGCATTCCCAACACTCCATCCTCTGTTGCTCCCGCTTCCTCCCTCCTTGCCTCCCTGATGCCTCCCTCCCCCTGTTTCCCCCTGACAGGCTGAGTGTGGTCACATTGGTATTTGTGCACAAACTCCTGCTTACTGCCAGCTCTTTGAAAGTCCATCTGGAAGGAGGCCATTTTGATGGAGCACAGGACAAAAAATTCTGCCTTCGGACTGCTCCTGTCAATAAATGTGTGAGCTGATCAAAATCTTGTCTTTTGCCCAGATCTGTGCGTGCTTGGCTGATCCACTGAGAGCAACTGAGCGAGGTACTCCTTCAGTGAAGGCAATAAACAGGGTTCCAGACAGAGGCAAAAAGCAGCCTGGTTGTGAAGGTGGCATTTTTACTCCATCTGCAGAACGGAACTGCATTACCTACATTATATTCTCCTTTAGTTCACTGGGAAGAAAGGTGATGGGGAGAACAGGGTTTGAAGAATCAATATTTTTCTTATACAAAACTTGTAAGGAGGCATTTTTGGTCTGGGAGTGCAGCAGGAGGAACATCCAGACACTTGAGAGAAGGCAGCAAGCTGGCAGGCAGCTCTCAGTGTGTGTAGTTGACCTGTCTGTGCCACATGAGATGGCCCTGGTTATCAGACCTGAACAGAGGTGTCACAGTGTGCATGGCAGGACAGAAAGTGACCCTGACTCATGTTTCTGGGTGTCATTTTCCTATAGTCTATGTTGCTTCCAGCTCTTAAACACTTACCCTCCTGAAATCTCATTCTACAGCACTGCTACTATGATGGGTATTTATTATGTCTGGTTTCTTTCCTCTGATCAGGACCTGCAGTCCCCAGGTTGGCTTTAACCTTTCAGATGGAGTGAAGAGAAACAACCTTTTGGTCAAAAGCAACTAAATACGAGGACAGTAGAGAGACTGCTCACAAGGTGAGAAATTGCATGAAGCATGTCCAGGAAGGGAAGAGCTGAATGCTGAAAATGTGGTGGGTACTGTGCTGCATACTCTGCAGTCATCCTGCCTCTTCTGCTCCCATACTGTAGAGATGCTGCTTTCAGGAAGATTTGTAGGCACTCCTGGAATATCTAGACCCTGTCCAAAATGAAACCAAATCCTGTGTATTTTTCAGCAAAGACTACGCTCAGAGTGTTAAAAGACATAATTAACCAAAGTGTGGCTTTTTCTTCCTTTCACACAGACAGTATTTTTAATGCTTTATTGGTCACTTTGCTGCTTTGACATGCTTTGAGATGCTTTTGAGTACCTTTATTTGTACTACAAATGTTTTTCATCCCTGAGTGTTGTAAACAAAAATTTGGGAATTGATTGAACCAGTGTGGTGGTGCCTTCCAAAATCTGCAGATCACCTGAAACAAAAGCTGCTGCATGACCTCACATTCCATGACAGAGGATGATCTTAAGCAGTGCCATCCAGCTCATCCGCTTACCTCACGCTCCAGCATGCATTTTCAAGGTGTGTTCTCCAAATGAGCAGAACCAGTGAAAAATCAGGAGCCTCTAAATGTTTCAGTCTAAAGGTTCATTTTCCTGCTTGATTAATAAAACAGTTTATCTTTCCACTCACTTACCTATCTGTTCTGTAGACAAAATTTAGATAGAATTTGCTGTAGAATATATAGGGCTTTCTTTTCAAGGAAGAGTGCTGTGACTGGAAAGAAGAAGAATAGTCTACTGGGCATCTACTTGGGTAGATGTTCCAGTGGTGATGGCTATTTCCTTCCTTGATTAAGCATGGGAATGTTGGCAGAAGAACAGTGGTTCACAGGCAGCAGGAAGGGAAGCAGATACAGTGGGGGTTGATGAGGAGAGCAGTCTAACCTTGCTACATGGGAACTTTGAGGGCAAGCAAGTGACAGGTCTTGCCTTTTAGGGCTGTAACTTTATGACAGAGGACCCCCTTTGCAATCTGTGCCACAGTGGCCACCCATTCTTGAGTCACATTCCATTCCTATGCTCCTTGGTTTCCGTGCCCTCTGCCCTGAGAAGATACTGAGGGGCTGTCTCCTGTGCTGTCAGCTCATGGTGCAGCAGGTCTTGGTGGCCCTCCTGTTTGGGTTTCTCCTTCAGAGGGGCAGGGGGTTATTCATTGCTAGTTCTTCTGTTCACTCCAGCAGGTGACAGGACCATGGGTGACATGCAGAACGGCAGCCTTCATCAGGAAAGTCCTGTGAGAGCTGAATTGCGTCTGTGTTCCCCCAGGAAGCTCACAGGAGATACCTTGCAGGACACCAATCAAAGACAAGACTGCAAGCAGAAGCTGGAGATGGAAAGTGAGACGGAGGCATCTTTTGCAAAGAGACAGGGAATGGTAACTCCCTACGGGATGGAAATCTGGGAGTGTGAGGACAGCGGTAGAGGCCACATCAGCAAGGTTATCCTTGCTGGGGACAAGCCTGGCCCACCCATGTGTGGGAATGGTGCCATTTGGATTCAGCAGGTGGGAGAGAAAACCTATGAGTGTCGCGAATGTGGGAAGAGCTTCAGCCGGAGTTCTTACCTGAGCCAACACCAGAGGATCCACCTGGCAGAGAAACCCTTCAGCTGCTCCGAATGTGGGAAGAGTTTCACCCGCAACTCGGACCTGATCAAACATCAGCGGATCCACACCGGCGAGAAGCCCTACCAGTGCAACGAGTGCGAGAAGACCTTCAGCCAGAGGTCCAACGTGATCAGGCACCAGCGGACCCACACGGGAGAGAGGCACTACCTGTGCAACGAGTGCGGGAAGAGCTTCAGCCAGAATTCACATCTCATCGTCCACCAGCGCAGCCACAAGGGTGAGAAACCCTTTAATTGCCTCCGGTGTGAGAAAAGCTTCAGTGACCGTTCCTCCCTGATCATACACCGGAGAGTCCACACGGGAGAGAAGCCCCACAAATGCCAAGACTGCGGGAAGTGTTTCCGGGACAGCTCAGCCATCATTCGGCATCAGAGGATTCACACGGGAGAGAAGCCATACGAGTGCACCGAGTGTGGGAAAACCTTCCGGCAGAGCTCCTCACTGGTGACCCACACACGGACGCACACGGGCGAGAAGCCCTACAAGTGCCCTGTGTGCGGGAAGGGCTTCAGCCAGAGCTCGGCGCTCACCACTCACCGCCGGATCCACGGCGGAAAGGCCCTGCCCATGTACCACCACCTGCCTAACCCCTACCAGTGCACCGAGTGCGGCCGGAGGTGCAGCGACCACTCCACCCTGGCCAAGCACCAGAGCACACACGCTGAGGAGCGGCCCTTCATCTGCGTGGAATGCGGGGACAGCTTCCAGCGGAGCTCGGCTCTCAACGTCCACCTGCGGATCCACCGTGGGGAGAGACCCTACAAGTGCGAGGAGTGCGGAAAAACGTTCAGGCACAGCTCTGCCCTCGGTGCCCACCTGAGGATCCACGCAGGAACCAAGCCCTACGAGTGCGGCGAGTGCGGGAAAAGCTTCCGGAAAAGCTCAACGCTTAAAGTGCATTTGAGAATCCATGCGGCCAAGACACCCTATAAAAGTGTGGTGGGTAGAAGGGTGTTCGCTTTCCGCTCGCTTCTGCCATAAGCCTGGAGTGGGTGTTCAGAGCAGGATACTAAAGTAGTGTTGGGGGTACCTTAAAAAGGTGGGTAATGAGAACCACGGTGTGAAGAGACTGGAGAAACAGTATCTCTGGTGTTAGGGTGGGGTGCTAAACCCCAGTGTCACAAAAACCATGAAGAGGTCTGGAAACAGGGAGTTAGTCCTAACAGCTGAGTCCTGGTGGTTTAGGAAGAGTGTGAGGAATGAGCACCAGCTTCAGGGTAAATCAGGGGCTGAGAATACGTGGTAGGATAACAGCTGGGAGAACTGAGCTTGTAAAATACAACAAAAGTGAAGATAATAATAAAATGTTTCAGGTTGGTTCTGGCTCAAAACTTTAGCTTGTTAGACACTGTAGTAGTCTTAGGAACTGAACTCTTATTTTTCATGAATATAGTAAGTTTACCCTTGTTTGACAAGTTTATCCGTGTTTGACAAGGCATTTTCAAATCTTTTGAGTCTGAGACTTTGGAGCTGAACTTCAGTCTATTTTGTCTTTTCCAAATTTTATGTGGGACAATGAGTTCCTACCTCATGACAGGTGAGTATGTACCCAGAAAACGTGGATGTGGAAGCATTTCCAGTTGAAAAGCAGCCCATTAATAGTCTGTGACAGCTTCTCCCAGATTTCTTGTTGCTGATTTGAAACTCCTTTCACCTTGGGACATCAGTGAAACATGGAAAAAATGTGGCCTTATTTTATTTAACCAAAAAACAGGATTTTCCCCCTAGATGTCCTAGTCTGAAATGTTACGTGGCTGAGTTCTTACTGCTGGTCCAGAGACTGACTGCAGTTCTGTAGTCCTTTTTATGCTACTCTTCTTTAGCTCACCGTTGTTTGAAAATTATTAACATATAAAGTTCAGCATCTAACAGTTAGGAACGATTGTATTTGCATTTATTACTATGCCAGCGACTGTGTATTACATAAACCTATATTGCAATGTTTTGTTACTACGTGTTTCCATCCGAAATAAAACTTTTTTTTTTTTTCTTTTTCGCTCCCGTGTAAAATCTAGTTTTCCGAGCCCAGGCGGGGTTTGGCGACGCGGGATGCTCGTGGAGACCGATGGGAGCAGGGGAGGGAGGACGGGCCGGCCCCGGTCCTTCCGCCGCGTCACGGGAAGGGGCGGGAGCGGCTCCGGCGCCCGGTTCGAACGGGGCGGGATGGAGAGCGGGATGGAGAGCGGGATGGAGAGCGGGATGGAGAGCGGGGTGGAGGCGGCTCCGGGCCCTGCGTGCGGCCGGTTCCCGTTCCCCTACACGCCGTACCGCATCCAGGAGCAGTTCATGGAGGCGCTGTACGGCGCGCTGGAGGCCGGCCGGGTCGGCATCTTCGAGAGCCCCACGGGCACGGTGAGGCGGCGGGGCCGGGCACGGCTGCGGGATGCATGGATGGGGGGGTGGTGTGGTCTGTGACAGCAGCGCTCCCTCACCCTGTTGGCTTCCCACGGCAGGGAAAATCCCTGAGCCTCATCTGCGGGGCCCTGTCGTGGCTGCGGGACTGGGAGGAGAAGAAGCGGCAGGAGGAGGCGCGGCTGCTGCAGGGGCTGAGCCCGGCGGAGCCGGGACATGCGGGAAGCACCGGCACGGCCGCGGAACCGGACTGGGTGACGGCGTTCGTGCAGAGGAAGGAGGAGCGGGACAAGGTGGACAGGCTAAAGGTTGGGAAACGCTCATCTGTAGGGGATGGGTGAGATAACGAGGAAAGGATTGGGAAGGTTGATAGCGCAGAATGGCTGGGGCTGGAGGGGACCACTGCAGGTCATCTAGAACAACCTCCTGGCTCCAGAGCCCCTGGAGCAGGATTCTGTCCAGACAGCTTTTTAATACCTCCAGGGAAAGAGACTCCACAGCCTCTGGGCAAACTGTTCCTGTGTCCCGGGTGATGAGTGGAAGGACACGTGAGGCAAATTTGGTGGTGGTCTGTGATGCAAACTTGGTGGTGGTCTGTCTGTCACAGGACTTTGTTTCCATGAGGAAAGCTGAGGCATTGCCCTGCGAGTTGCATAAGATAGGAAACTATATTGCTTTGAACAGAGCAGCACCCGGTAGGTGCTCGAGGAGAACGGGGCTGTGTACTGACAATTTCAGAGTTGATTTCTCTCTATTCCCAGAGCTTAGTGATACCAAGGGTTGAGGACTAAATACACTTCCCTCTTTATTGTAGGAAGAGCAGATCAGGAGGAAAAAGCGAGAAGATCGTCTCGAGAAAATTCGCAATAATGTGCAGTTAAAATATGCAGCAAAGAGGAAGGTGAGTTATTCCACAGAACCTTCTGTTTTGGTTACACTGAGTGTTGTTCATTGCTTATGTCTGTGCCTTCAACTGCCTTTTTGAGGAGCTCTTTGTATTTGAATGTTGAAATTTGCCATCCAAAATTTTTGGTTTGATTTTCTTTTTAAATGATGTGAAAAACAATTTGTGCATCAATAATTTCCTCTGAATGTGTTTGTGTGTGGGTAGAAATGACGTGTGTTTTGATGGCCTCTGGCCTTCTACTTCTCTTTAAAAGTTTTAATACTTGGATTTTTTTTTTTTTTTTAAAGCTCTCTGTACTTCTAGAATAAAAACTGTGGTTAAATTTATGGTCATGGGAACAGAATACCATGCAAAGGAAGCCAGGTCATGCGTTGGTTGTACTTCACTCACCACTAGGGAACAATTGTTTTTGTTTAGTTCCATGGTAAACATGATTATATTGTTCAGAAGTGTTTCTTTTCTGCATACAAAATATTCTCAGGTGTATTTTCCTGTAATTCAGGTGAATGAACTGGCCTCAGTACTCTTAACTCTAAGAGGTTTTTGATGGTATGAGTGGAACTTTCCAGAAATACACATTTCAGGTCCCCAAACAGGCAGATTTATGAGACTGCCAGGCTGTTAGTTTCTAGTGTGCTCCATCTCAAGTGTTGTGTAATGTTTTGGTCAACTCCTGTCAAAGGGATGTTACAGAAATAGTAATGAATGACAAATGAAATACACGTGAAACAAAGACCTTGTCTCTTTTAAGAGGATGAAGAGCATGTGAAATGAGAAGCAGGATAAAAAGCAAGAAAGTAAATGAGAGAAATATAGAGATTTGGAAAAGCAATAATCTTCTACATAGGGCTTACCAACTGCATTTCTTTAGAATGCCATGGTAATAAAACACTCATTGACATTGGAAGATGCTGTTTTCAGATTGAAAACCAAACTTTTATCAGGACACAAAAATTAATCAGGAAACTGTTCTTTAACAGCTTAATGGAATTTTTGTTGAAGGCTAGACTTGTGTTAGAATAGCAATCACATAACTGGAGAAAAACAGCAAGAGAAGTCTTGTGCTCTGTGTTCTAAAACAGATGCTGAGTTTATCCTAGGTTTCAATTAAGTGTGCACTGAGTGTTTGATTATATCCTTATACGTTTGCTTGGGTTTATTTACACACTTTTTTTTCTCAGGCAGATTTGGGCCACTTTAAGCAACTAATGCTTACATGAATGTTTCTTTGAGGATCTGTTAGTTCAGCAGGCCTTTGGCACAGAAGGTTCTTTATGTTTCCCTTTCGTGGCTGTCTGTGTGGGCAAGTCTTTGATTGTTGGTAACAGCTGCATTCTGTGGGGCTGAACAGCTTCAGGCCCCTTTGGTGGAGCCTGCTTGTCCTGCTGTGGCTTTACCCAGCAAGTCATTCCCTGTGCTGTGTGTGAGGGACTCTGCAGTGTTCTGACCTGTCTGTGCCACGAAGTGATGCTGGTGCTGCCTCTCTTTTTACATGAGAAATACTGCACTGCTGTGTTCCTCTCAGAGATCCGAGGAGGATGAGGCAAAGCGCCTTCTTCAGCTGAGCAAGGAGGCTCTGTCACAGGGAGCTGGAGGGGATGTTCTGGACCAGCTGGATCACAATGAGGAGGAGCTGATTCTTGCTGAATATGAGAGTGATGAAGAAAAGAAGGTGGTATCTGGGTAAGGACAGGGACTGAGGGGGTTCCATGCGAAAGAAGCATTTTCTGTATAGTTTTTGGCTTGCTCTGATTAAAGAGATGTCACCTGTAATGGTGCAGATTTTATTCAAAAGAGTTTCTCACCTTTTCAGACTGTGTAAGGTAGTGGTTGTTCTGGGGTTTTGTTTAATTGTTTGTTTGGGTTTTTTAAGCTTTTCTTAGATTGATCAGAGTGACCTGAAATGCTTTCTGAGAAAGAACATCTTAAAATGTGGGGCAGTGTCCTGCCTTTACCCACACCTAGTTTCCCAAAAAGTGCCTCTGGATACTGAGTGAATGAATTGATATTAAGAGTTCCTTGCATTGGAAAAGCAGAATGGAACCCACAACATCAGAGGAAGCTGTCAATCCTGCAGATTAGCACTGGCATCTTTTGATACTTTAAAGGGAGAGACATTCACATTTCTAAAGATGGAGCTTTTGCATGAAAATCTCATGCACACTTTCCTCTCGTACATTCGGTTTATGCAGAAAGCCAGTAGTCATACTTCAGCACAAAAAGTCAAATGTGTTTAAAATACAAATTTACTAATTAGTATCTAGACAGAATCCTTCTGCCTTAAAAAATTGAAAACCACTTAACTACTTCATTTACATGGAGTTTATCAAACATTAAACTGCTGTTGCCTTTGAGGAACTCTGTGGCAGCTGAGGGCTTTCCTGAAGCTTTTCTTTATGTAATAGCTGAAGGGTGGTAAATTGCCTCTAAAGGGAAAACTTTACACAAATAAATAAATAAGCTCACCAAAGAATAGTATAGCAATGATTAGCTTATGCCTGGGGCTTAGAAACCCCAGAATCAAGAGAAAAAAAATTCTTGAATTTGCAAGAGGCAGAGCCCTAAAGACATTTTCCTTTTAAAGAGCAAGGCTTGACTTGATTGTGCATGCTTACACTATTCTTAAAAAGTTGATTTTTCTTTTACCACCTGGGTTAAGATCTGAGGTTTTTTTTTGAGATGACTTAACCATCAGTATCTTTTGAGACCTCTCTCTTGTAGTAGAGCATAATTTGATTCTTACTGCCACTGATCTGCTGAAAAGCAACTGTTTGAGCTTTCTATTTTCTTAGGCTGGAAGAAGATGATGATGATTTGGAAGAGGAGCACGTGACTAAGGTGAGATGAGGAAAGTAAATAGTGTCACCTCATAAAATAGTGTAGGAGTGAGCAGAATGATGGCTTCCTTGCACCTTTCCAACACTCATGTGGTACAGAAGGATTTAGGAACTAGCGTACAAGAACTGCTAAGTTTGTTGATAGTGACAACTAGTTCTGCTGTGCTCATCTCCTTCTGGACTACACTGGCTGCCTAAGCAGCTTTGTCTGCTAGCACTGCTTAATTTTTGCTGTGGCTTGCTGTAAAAGCACACTGCAATAAATAGCTTTTTATTACTCTCCAATGGCGAGTCCCTGTTTTTATAGAGATGTTGGAAAATTAGGTGGAAACAAAGACAAATGCGCAGGTGAAAACAAAGATGGGGCTTTTAGCCTCAACAGGTGTGACACTCAAACTTGTGTTTTAGAAGGCTTGAGCGAGGTGAACCTTGTTGAAGTGCTTGGCTGCATCCTTGCAGGGTTGGTTGTAGGTAGGGGATTGGCTCCCATGTTCTTCTTGTCTTCCCTTTGTTCTCCCTCGTTGCAGATTTACTACTGCAGCCGCACTCACTCCCAGCTCTCCCAGTTTGTGCACGAGGTCCAAAAGAGTCCTTTTGGCAAAGACACACGTCTGGTCTCCTTGGGATCCAGGCAGGTATGTGGTGTAGTTCTCCAGGGACCCAGAGGGCATGTTAACCTAGTATGAGAGACTTTGTGAGGAGGTGTGTGGATCTGGTGCCACAGAAGGCACCTCGGGGATTGTCTGAGTCTCCCACTGGATAAACCAAAGGAGTTGTGGGTCTCAGCACAGATCTGTGTGATGTAGATTTTTCTGTGAACTCTCTTTTGGTCATTTACCCTTTGATGTAAATGCAAGAGTCTGTTTTACCTTTTCTGATGTAGAATATTACAGATG